ACCCTCGCCGGCGGAGCTCGTGCTTGAGCTCCTCCGTGGTCGCCACGGCCTTCTTTCTCTTCATGAAGCCCAGCAGCTCCTGTATCTCCTTCTCGCAGGAGGCCAGCAGCGGGTTTCTAGCGTCCAGCGGCCCATAAAACACGGCGAGGGGCAGCGAGTCTTCGCCGCAGGTGGAGCGAGGCAGCGAGTTCAGAGAGCTCGCCTTCGACTCCAGGGTCGACTTGGAGACGGTGGTGGAGGTGAGGAGCAGGGGCGGGCCTGCCTGAGCGCCCAACGACAAAGACGCGTCCGAGGTCCTGGAGGAGCGGTGCGCCGCCATGTTGGCGAGACCCCGGCCGCGCCGGGAGCGTCCACACACGCGGTTGCCTGGCGACGGTCTCGCGGCAACCGGGCGTCCAACGCGTTTTCGGGGAAACACAGCGGCCCCTGGAGGGCAAAGGGAGAAAGACCCCGGGTCCGGGAAGGAAGAGTGCTCCTAAGGCGGTTGGGGGTCCCCCCCCCTTTTTTTCATTAATGAGAAAGACAGAAGGTTCCGGACAGAGAGCGAGCGAATAGGAGAGCCAGACTTACAATCAGATTCAAACTATACCTTTTTTTTTTTTATTTAAAGCACTTAAGAATGATGATCATCATCACTGATATATACCAGGCGTTGTTCTAAGCATTTGAAATATAATCTCATTTAGTCATTAGAACAGCTTCATAACTTAGGATATTATTAGTATCTCCGTTTCATAGTTTAAGAAACCAAAGTTTACAGAGGTTCAGTCATTTGACCAAGGTCGGAGTAAATCATAGGATCAGGGACCAGGTCTTAGCCTTCTGACTTCAAAGCCAATGCTCAAAATGAATAGGCTATATTGACTATCTCCGAAACACTAAGCTTATCAATCAATTTGAAATTTTAAAAATATCTGACAAGCAATTGAAAAGTCAAGTACATGCAACTGGTCCAGTCTCTTTCCTCTGTTTGTGTATCTTGAGGTCTGTAACTGTGGGAATGATGTCGGTGTCTAATAATTACGATTCTATGGATTCATTTGTATTTCAAACATATCTTAATTATCAATATATTCTAAATTAAAATGCATTTTACTCAGACTTAACTATTGGACATTAATGTGTAATAGTAGCTTGAAGTATTAACTCTCAAAATACTTTCTCATTTTAGGCAGGGATTTTAGAAGGCTTTGCTTCTGATGGGGAAACTATAGGCCTCAAGGGTAATATATGAACAACAATAAGATTGAGTGATTGACTGATTGATAATGTGAGTTCCAACTAATAGGGAAACTGCTTTCTTTATAAATTATGCAATGCCAAAAATTATCTACTAGAGGCTCAATAAATAAATAAAGACAGTGACCCTAACACCCTGTGAATCCAATTTCCCACTTAAGATTAAGAAGCTTATTGGACCTCTGCCAGATTTCTTTCAGGCCTGACCTTTTTTTATTTATTTATTTATTTATTTATTTATTTATTTATTTATTTATTATTTATTTTTGGTAGGGCTAGCCTAATATATCATGTGTACTATATTCTAAGATTCTTTGAAGGAAAATGATTATCATTTTGCTCTTCAAGGCAGGGAATTATTGCCTGAGAACCTTCTTGGTGCTCTGATACCTCACTGTAGAAATTCAGTTCTCACATAAGGCTGTATAAATTATCCTTTGATCAAGATTTTATCTTGTTTCTAAGTGAGCAATAAAAATGTTAAGAGTTTTAAAATTTTAGGCCTACAAAAATTCATGCTTGGGGCATTTACAAAAAGTTTTTTTTTTTTTAATTTTTTAAAATCAGCTTGGCAAATATTTCTTATCTTATCCCTGTTCTCACATAACAGACTTGTCCAATTAGGATCAAAAGCTGGCATAATTTGCCACTGAGTACTAGCTATTAAGTTGATGAAAGTGAAACTGCCAAATAAAATGAAATGAAAGTGGTCAGAGAAGAGGAAAGAAAATAAAAATAAAACAGATAAAGTGAGGTTTTTCTCTATGATCTGGCTGCTCTCACAACCTTAGTCATAGTGCAGACACATTTCAAAGTCACTGGTGAAAGAAATGTGACTAATTAATTTCAAATACTTGAATTATGAAACATTGCACCTTAGTCATTTTCCTCCTTGCACGTACTATATTAACAATGCTTAACTTTCAGTAGTTTTTGGAGCTTGTCTGAATAATTGAAATGGGTATTGTACTCTGAATCATCCTTGTGGTAAGATGAGTTTCCATTTTGTTCAGTTTAAATTATATTTGAGGCATTTTTAAGACTTCAGAGGCATTGTCTTTCTTGTAATGAGATGCAGCTATTAGAATATCTTTTCTATTTCCCTGTCACTGTGCTTTATTCTTTTCACTGTACTGAAAGAGTGGAGCTCTGCAACTGTTGTGTCTGACAGGACTAAGTAATGTAAATAGCTTCCTTATAAATAATGTCAATTGCTGTTTCCTTATAATTAGTGTCTTTGCAGGCTGCAGGGATCCTTTTTGCCCATCCAAGAGTCTTTATCATCTAAAGTTACCGTTAGAGAAAGAATTAATAAAGTTAGTACTCTCCATTCCTAATTTAGTTTTTAATCATTTGGACTGTCCCAAATATGTGCATATCTATGGTAGTGTTTTTTTAAAGCACAGAGTTCCCCCCTTGCCGCCTCACCATCTAATTTAGACTTTATTTTTTAACTTCTTTATTCTTTCATTCAGTAAAATGCAACCATTTCTTTAGGGTAACATACAATGAAGGAGTGAACCCACCCATTCCCTCCAAGAAGCAGATGACACACAACTAACCATGATAAAAAGGCATGCTGTGAACTGTGCTATGATGAAGGTTGAAAAAATGCTAGAGGAGTCTCCAGATGAAGCTTGGAACTGGAAAGAGAACAGAGGATTATAGAAGAGGTGATGTTTCAGCCCTGGACAGTAACTGCTACTTATTAACAGATATTGCAACAGATATTGGCCTATTTGCTATGATAGCCCAGCACCCCAGCCTGGCAGCTGGCGTAGAAGACGACTCGAATCTTTGTTGGAATGAGTGAGTGAAAAGAAATAGGATGAAACATTTAGAAGGATATCCCTGACTGATAGAAAAGCCAGAGTATGACACAGTCGTAAACATAAACAGCCAGTTACATACATAATCTGTCTAGCGTGGTAAACCACAAGCTGCAGTAAATCCAAAACAGAAAATAAGACAGAAAGAGAAGCATGAAAAAATACAGTGGGCAGTTGGGAGATATGCTAAGAAATTTGACTTAGTTCTGTATTCAGCGGGCAGCCTTGGTTAGAAAAACAATATAGTGTAGAGGTTAAACCCTGAATGCGGGGGCCGGAAAGCATGGTTTGAATCTCCAGTTTTTCCAAGTTACTTAACCTCACTGTGCCTTGCTTTCTTCGTAAAACGAGGGTGAAATAATTCTACTACTTACTTCATAGCTTTTCTTTGTTTAGAAGTAAATGAGTTAATATATGTAAAACCCATAAAATAGTGCCTGGAACACAGTAAGTGCTGTGGAAATGTTTGCTAATATAATTATTTACTTGGGAACCATCAAAAGTTCCTAAACAGAGAAGAGCATGATCCAATTTGTATTTTATGTATTTTAGAATGGCAATTATTATGGCAGAATGAAAGATGGATTGGAGCGAGGAAGGTCTGATCTGAGTTACATGGATTATCACAATGGTTATTATGCACAGTCAACAAGTGAAACAGAAGTAGTCAGCTAAAACCACAGGTAGACACCGAGGCAGAATTAGTAGAAAAACAAATTCTAATCAGTAAAGTAAAAGGAGAGTCACAGAGTGATATGTAATTTATATAATAATAATTTTATATATGTAGTATAACATATATATGTTTTATGTAATATATATGAAATAGCTATAAAAATAATAACAGAAATTCTAACAATATATTTATGGTTCTGAATTAAGTCTTTCCTAAAAGCTACAAAAGTAAGAGATAAAAAAGGGAAATACTGATCAGCTTGAATAGATTTTAAAACTTTTGGAACAATGAAAGATACCACCACAAAAATAGAAAAGCAGCCACACATTGGGAAACAATATTTGTAATGCATAACTTATTGGGTGAGCACTATATTGATAAGTATTAATAGCAGGTACAAATGGATGGAAAGACCAGATAAAGTCTGGTCTTTAGGTACGGCTTAGGTAAATCAGCTTAATACAGACTACCAATGGGAGTCTGTAGTCAGGATATACAACAAAGATCAGCAACACTATCCAGGACAGATAGGAAGATAAGTTTTCCAAACCTAAAATCCTCACCAGTGGTACACAGCTCTGGATGGTAATATCCCAGCATCTTTCAAGTCTTTGATACTTGAACAAATATCTCCAATTCCTTTGGAGTGCAGTATTGCTTCTAATTTAACATTTTGGTGTGGGCAGTTTCGAAGGCTTCCACTTGGGCCTTCCCTCCAGAACAGCTGTAAGGCTACAGGTTAGTGATGCGGTGTTAGTGGTGTGCTAAATACTAAGTCCCCCTTCAGTTGATGGTTCTAGGTTTGTGAACTGCTTGAGATCTGGAAGCTAGCTGAGGAGCCACCATTTTCCATTGCAGCAACTGATGTCACACTTTGTTTGCAATGTCATTGTAACTGAGTGAAATGCTCAGCCTCTCTGACTCTGTCTTGTTCAGGCTTGCCTGGTTCCCAAGGCCTTCAGACTTATAGCTTCTGCTTAGTCTTACATACAGACATGCTAATCATTAAAGGAATTTTGCTTTCGGCTTGAGTTTTACGAAACAGCCCCTTGCCAGAAAGTGCCTCTCCAGAGGAGATAAGGAAACTATGTATTGTTTATCAAAAATTTCCAACAACCTCGTCACCAGACTCACATCAACTAGCACAATCTTCCTCAGACACCTGCTGGCACCCAGATGTCTTCGGGTCATCAATCACCTGTTATCCCTCCCATTTCCCCTTCCCTTAGCATAAAAAAAGCCTGAACTCTGTACTTTCTTAAGATGGATTTGAGAATTAGGTCTCCTATCTTCTTGGTTGGCATTTTCTCCATCAATAAAACTTTCTTTACTCCAAAGTCTGGCATTTTGAGTTTTGGCCTTTCAAAGCATTGGGCACATGGACTTTGGTTGGGTAACAGTTTGAGTTTTCTGATTATCCATGTAGAGCAACACCTTTGTTGCCTGCTTATCTGCCTTGCCCCTTTAACACCGCAACCCATTAGCTAACATCAGATATCCATCCCTCTAGGTAAAGGCACTTTCATTGTCACTCTGGCCTACTTGTCCTTATAATTACATTAGTAGCCTTTGTTA